GAGTTTACTTTGACAGTGCTGGGGAAACACTTGGACTCGGTGTTCATAGAGGTCTTTTCCAACCTAAATGATTCTGTAAGGCCATGATCTCAGCTGGAGGGGAGCAGGGAAATGGGAGCAGGCAACTGAGAAAGAAGCCTCCAGAGGTGCCTGCTGTGAGGGCCAGAGCAGGACATTCGTCTCCTGTGCTGCTTTCAATGATCATGGGCAGGGGAGAAGCAGGAATATCCTGCTGGCTGACGTGCTGGGAGGGCACAGGGCATCTTTTTGGTAAAATGTTTCCACTGAAGATGGGGAGTGGAGAGGGGAAAAGGTCAACCAAAATAACTACAGCTATGGAAAATGGCGGCAGCTGGAATCCCAAATGGCTTTTGGTGTCACTCGTGTAGATGGTGCTACTACCCTCTCACAGCTTCATCTCCCAACAGCCGAAGCTCGTTGGTGGCTGATGCATTTCCACGTGGTTTAAGGTTTTTCCTCCTTCCAGCCCTGTCTTGACCTGGCCAGACTGTGCCATCATCATAATCCTGGGCTGGCTGCATTGCTGAGCTTCCCAGCCACTAAAACACCACGCTGGAAATCGCCGGATTAGGTCTTAATGGCAAGATCAAGTCAGTGGGAGATGAGTGGGGAGAAAGCTCCTGTTTATGCAGATGGACAGGCATGGACATTTTCTCTTCCTTGAGAAAATGGTCTAGAAAGCCTAAAATGTCAGAAAAACATCCTCTTTCCTGGACTCTCTGGCTTTTCTCTGATTTTAATACATCCATCGTTTTCCAAGGGTCAGAAAACACTGGTCTGAGTTTTATGAAGACACCCTCACAGAAGAAAATGCTGTCTTGAGTGTTGGATGTTCTGTCCCAGATGTTAATTCCCAATACTAAATTCTGCTACCCCTGTTTGAAATCCTGGCTGTGGGACATTGCAGAGTGCTGGAGGATGCCAAGGGTTTGTGGCTGTCTTTAACATCTGTGCTGGTGGGGTTCCTGGAACACCAGAGAGTTTGGGAAGTGTGGTGGATGTTTTCCAGGATGTCATTACCACTGACCAACCAAGATGCTCCAGGGTGGGGTTTTGGGTGCGGTCCTTCAGGAAGGTGGCAAAGCAGAGATTGCACAGACCAAGGCCCTGCCTACCCTGCTCTTTACCTGCACAGGCCATCAAGGGCTCATGGTCAGCAGGGCTCTCAGGTGCTGGATTTTATCAGCCTGCAGTGACCAGGAGAAGCTGTGGCTGCCCCATCCCTGGAAGTGTCCAAGGCCAGGTTGGATGGGGTTTGGAGCAACGTGGGAGAGTGGAAGGTGTCCCTGCCCATGGCAGGGGGGTGGAACAAGATGAGCATTAAGGTCCCTTCCAACCCAAACCATTTTGTGATTCTGTGATACACCTACAAGAAAGTGGGATTTTCTGGTGGCCCTATGGTGGGTGTAGGGGGTGATGGAGACTTTCTCCTTTGCATTGGCTTGGTGGTGCCTGTGAACTTTCTACTCAAACATTTCAGGGAGGGGGTGAGTTATGCCAGAGTTGCATCTTTTCACAGAGTTGTCCTCTCTGTTTTTGGACAGCTTGAACAAAACACTGCTATACTCCCCCCGAAACAACTCTGGGAAGCAAAGCTTGCTTGTATGTGGCTTGTGCACCCAGTGAGCCCCAGGAATGCATGTCAGGAGGAAGAGGAAGAGGAGAACAAGGGCTGGCTTCTGCAAGCACAGAGCCAGCAATGTTCCCCAGCCCTTGCAGGGATTTGGGCTCTGCTCAAGCTCAGCTGAGCCTCCTGCCATCAGGGATAGCACCCCTGACAGGATAACAGAGGCATGATTCCCCGGATCCCAACACCTGCTTTTCCAGCTCTTGTATGGAAGCTAGACTGAAGAGCAACATCCAGCCCAGAGCTCCATTTCCCTCCTGTTCTGCTTCGTGTGCCTCCTCCTATATGGGAGATGATTGTGTTACTAAATTAATTCGATACACAGTGTTCAGATTTTCCCTAATTGGAATGGAATTGCTCAAATTTTAGGGATGTGTTGGTATTTGTGAGGTATCAGCAAGCATAAATACAAGAGCGCCAGCTGAGGCAATTGCTCCAACCTCTAAAAAATGGGAAAAGAGAAAAATTGGAGTGCATACATTTGCATGTGGGTAAGAGGAGTCTTCCTGCTGTTCTGGGCTTTCATTTTCCTTCCTATTCCTTGATCGCTGATTTCTGAGTTGTTTTTTTCAGACATAGGGGATTCCTGATAGATTAAGAAAATTGCACAGAATTTAATATATTTGAACCAAGAAAGAACCATATTGCTCTGAGAACTGATGATGTCTCCTCCAGGCACTTTTGCAAAGGCAGCTGCAATTAACAGGCCTCTTTATTGTAGAATGGGATCTTCCTTTGGAAGGGCATTGTCCAGCTTTGGGGCAGATCTTCCCTTGCTGTGGTGCAAAAGCTTTTGGCTGCTCCCAATGCATGGAAGCAGGATGCTGCAGTCCTCCACCTGTGGTTGCCCAGGTGTGATGCTTGGCAGAGCCTGGCTTGACTCACTGTGCAACTTCCTTTTTGGGGCCTAGCTTGACACTTTTGTCTCCTAATTCCATGTCTTTGACCTCTGTGGGGCTGCACCTGCTTCACACTGGGCTGGAGCTGGGCTCTGTATCTACTCTGTCCATTGGGCTGCATGTAATGCTGTCCTCAGGGCTTTCAAGGGGGTGGACAAAGGAGCCATTTCAAAGCTGTGGTGAACAAGGCAGAACAATATGCTGAAGAGGAAGGGGCTGAGATTGTTCTCTCTTCAGGCAGGGAATGCTCTGAAATGCTCAAAATGGCATTCTGGGGGATAATTTTTCTCAGCCCTTTGTCCATGGAGAATGAGGGCTGTTGGAGGAGGCCTGTGCCCAGAGTAAATGCTTCGGATCTATTGTTGCCATGCCTTCCATTCAGCTCATGAGCCCCCTATAAAACACTTACCTTTCACTATTATGATTAAGAAAAGGCCAATATAGCTTTCCCGCTCACTGGAGCATGAAGCGTGTTTAATTTAATAATGCTGATAAATCTTAAAGCCAGGAGCATTTGGCTAACACATGACCCACTTTTTCAATCAATTGGAAGCATTTACGTAACGGCCTGATGCAGGGTTCCTCCTGCAAGGCATGTGGAGCTGGGGATGGCAAACACCCTCCCTGCCACAGGACTGTGGGAATGGCTTTAGACTGAAAGAAGGGAGGATTAGATGAGATTTTAGGAAGAAATTTTTCCTTGTGAGGGTGGGGAGGCCCTGGCACAGGGTGCCCAGAGAAGCTGGATCCCTGGAAGTGTTCAAGGCCAGGTTGAACTCCAGGGCTTGGAGCAGCCTGGGGTAGTAGAAAATGTCACTGCCCATGGCAGGGGGATGGACTGGGATATCTTAAGTTCCCTTCCAACCCAAACCATTTGATGATTCTGTTATGTCTCTGGTGCAGGAGTTTGTCTCCTGGCACATTGTGAGCACTGGAAATGCTGAGCTTCACCTATCTGCTTATTGACCCTTTCTGACACTGCCTCCCATGCATAGGAGTCAGCCTGGGGTTAGCCAACACAGCTAGTTACTCTTTTCCTTCATTGTACACGTTACAGTAGGCTCAGTCTTGAAAATTCCTGATCTTGCCTGTTTTGTTACAGTCTCTCAGCCCATTCATGTTACTTTAGTCTCCAATGTCGTCGCCTTTTTCCTTGGAAATATTCTCCTTCTCCCCACCCTTAAAAGCACCTTTTGGCTTGACGTAGAACCAGATGGTTTGGGTTGGAAGGGACCTTAAAGCTCATCTCATTTCACCCCCTGCCATGGGCAGGGACACCTTCCACTATTCCAGTTGCTCCAAGCCCCATCCAGCCTGGCCTTGGACACTCTCATGGATGGGGAGCCCACAACCTCTCTGGGCACCCTGTGCCAGTGAATCTGTTTTGGTATTCAGCACATTTAATTTCTTATCCTTGTGAGGAAGAGCCCATCCTTTTTTTTTTTTTTTTTTTTTTTTTTATTTGTAACATGCAGCAGCCTCAAGCCCCATGTTTGCATGTAGGTCATAAGCAGTCTCATTCCCTGTGAGCCAGTGTCCTTTAGCTTTAGGGAATTCTATCCCCCTGCAAACCACGTGGGTTTATCCATTTTGGGTTTCATAATAACCTCTGGGATGAGGTTTTGCATCAAACCCATATCCCAGCCACGGTCTGTGCATTGCTGCTGTTTATTCATCCTGACTTGCATTAAAGCAGTACTTGAGAACTTGTTTATCTCCTGCTTTTTTTGCTCACATAAGTCCCTGTCTGAGCAAAGGGAAATGCCAGATGCTTGTGAGCAGGATGAAAAATCTCCCATCTGATACAGACTGAGGGATTAAATAACGTGAGGGAGAATTGCTCTGTATCCCTCAGCATTGCACGTAGAAGGATGCTGGCACCTCCCTCTGGGACGGGACTGCTCTCCCCATGCAATGGGCTGCAGGGACATTTCATATGCCACGTCCTCATGCAGAGATGCTCCTAAAGAGACATCAGGAGTGAAAAATTAAGGATTTGTTGCCATTCTGTGGCTTTTATTTATCCCCCCCCCTTGACTTCAAAACATCAGTGACCCTCTAGAGAGCAGAGGAGGAAAGAGAGAGAATGGAAAAGGAAAACAGCATGCTTTCCTTAGATATTTATGACTTGAGTGGCTGGAAGTGGGGAGGTCTCAGGTCAGGATGTGTGACAACCAGGATGCCAGTTCTGTCCTTCCCATTCAGTGCTCCTGGAGTCAGATAGACAATTCCTGACGAAAAAGTGGCTTGTGGTTTTCTTTATGCTGGAAATGGTGAACTTTGGTTTGCTAGTTAGGTGCTGTGGGTGCTTGAAAGCCCCACTGCAGGCACCGGCCCTTGGCCAGGCTGCTCCTCTGATGCCCTGGTCCAGAGCTGTTTTTAGCTGCTCTGTGGGGTCTGTCCCACCCCGAGGAACTTGTTCTGAGAGCAAACCTTCCCCGCTGTGTCCTCAGGTGATCCTGCCACCGTGCTGCCTGTGCCGGGGCTGCTCTCCCAGCTAGCGCACGTCTCCTGTCCCGGTAGGAAATGGAGTCCAAGGTCTCCGAAGGCGGCCTCAACGTCACCCTCACCATCCGGCTGCTGATGCATGGCAAGGTAAGGGGGTGTCCTCACAGGTCCCTCTTCCACCTGCCGAACCCCACACACATCTCTGTCCAGCTGCCCCAGCCCCAGGAATATCTGTCCTGCCGGTGGGGAGGGTGGCGTGGTGCTCCTGCTCCCTCTCATTCCTGCCCCTCAACCCTGTCCATCTGCTGGGGACAATGTCCAACAGGTCTTCACTTCAGTATGGGGGTGGGTTGGATTCTCATCACATTTTCTAATGTCTGTTCCTCTGGTTTTTGCTTTTTCTCTGTGTAGGAAGTTGGAAGCATCATTGGGAAGGTAAGGATGCCTTTTAATGTCCTTTTGATGCTGTTCCTGTACCTGTGGTGTGGCATATGCCATAGTTACCTCTTCCCTGTGATGTCCTGAAAAGTGTTGGGTGCCTGAGCTAGTTGCTGCATTTGTGAGCCAGAAATTAGGAGAGACCCACAAAGGGGTCAAAAGACCACTCCCCTAAAAACCTCACCAACCACCAGACTGTTTCCAGCTGCTTCATTGGGTGATGGCTGGGAGTTTAGAGTCATGTTGCTCTGGTGTTTTTATCAAATAACTTCATTAAGAGATACTAAAAATGTCACACAGATACATTTAAATTATATTTTAAGTAATTCTATAGCCCCTGTCTCTGAGGCCAAAGGACAACATTTACCTTGTCCAAAAAAGCTTCCTGAGTTGCTCTGGTGTTTCCAGTGTTTTGGATTAGGGGTTTTTTGGGTGGTTTTAAAATAAAGGTTTGTGGTGGCAAAGATTTTCAGCATAAACACATTTTCCCTGTAGGCTTGTGCCTTATTTTTCCATAAGTATGTCCAACTCCGGGAAGATTCACAGTTGTGAATTTGTGTATATATATTTGATGATTTAAATGCTCAGCTCTTCAGCTGCCCATCATGTGGGGATGCCGGGCTAGGTTTCACAGCTCCCACGTTTTTGGCTACACATTGGCGTGTATTAGGGAGATGCATTTTCGGTAGGATTGTTTTAAAGGTAGAAGTTGTGAATTATCAGTAATGGCTTGGTTTTCCCTCTTGTTTCAGAAAGGAGAGACTGTGAAGAAGATGCGTGAGGAGGTGAGCAGCCTGCTCTGTGGATGATTTGTAGGAGGAAGGGAGTGCAGAGTGGCCAGAGCTGCACATTGCCCTGTGTGACATGTGCAGTAATTGTCAGGGTCAGGACAAGCAAGCTTGAGCTCCCCAGAGCTCTTTGGAGCAGTTTTTCCCTTCACACTTAAACTCCTGTCACATTTTCCAGAGTCAAGTATTTAATGAAACATTGAAATTAAGTCACTTGTAAGATGCTTTGAGTTTGTCCAGGGTCTTTGTGCCTGCAGCTCCCGGGGAGTTGTCAGGACAGTGAGCAAAACTCTTCACAGGCAATGACCCCATGAGCTACTCTTACCCCGATCCTATGGGTGTGCTTTGCAATAAAATATTGGAAACCCTTTCTAAGGGTTGGGATAAGGCAGGGCTGAAGTCACTGCAGAGGAGGAGTGGGAGTTTGGAAGCTTAGCTGGAATGCTGTGAGGCTGGCACAGGTATCAGGCTGAGAGAGGACCCAACCTGACTGCTTGGCTGTGGCTATTCCAGGACTCCTCTTCTCTTTCCAGAGCGGGGCAAGGATCAACATCTCGGAGGGGAACTGTCCTGAGCGGATTGTGACCATCACTGGCCCCACCGATGCCATCTTCAAGGCTTTTGCCATGATCGCCTACAAATTTGAGGAGGTGAGAAATGTGAGCCAGCCCATGGCTGGGGACAGCAGTGCCTGGTTGGATTTGCCTAACTGGGACATGGCCTTAGCACAGAACATTTCACACATCTCTAAGTAGGATGGGTCTGGAGCACAAGTCTGATGGGGAACGGCTCAGGGAGCTGGGAGACTCAGCCTGGAGAGAAGGAGGCTCAGGGGGGACCTTCTCACTCTCTACAACTGCTTGAAAGGAGAGTGTAGCCATTTAGGGGTTGGTCTTTTCTCCCAGGTAACAAGTGACAGGACCAGAGGAAATGACCTGAGGTTTGGGTTGGATATTATGGAAGATTTCTTCACTGGAAGGTCAGTCAGGCCTGGGAACAGGCTGCCCAGGGCAGTAGTGGTCGCCATCCCTGGAAGTGTTCAAGAGGGAACACTTTAGTCATCTGACCACAGTGTGTGTGCCTGGGCACTGGAGGTGGCTCTGGTCAGGTACCAAGGGCTGATGTGCTGCACTTTTCCTTCCCAAGGACATAACCAACTCCATGAGCAACAGCACCGCTACCAGCAAACCTCCGGTGACACTGCGGCTGGTGGTGCCAGCGAGTCAGTGCGGCTCCCTCATTGGCAAGGGGGGCTCCAAGATCAAGGAAATCCGAGAGGTAAGGCAGATTCCATTTCATTATTGCACTTCAGTGCAGCTTCTTGGAGCTGATCTGCAGCCAAGGGGGAGCTGCCTTGGAAAAGGGGATCCCTGTGCTGCATCATGCATCACGTTGCTTCCTGGGATGATGTGGCTGATGTAGGAGCAGCATCCCACGGCATGCCATGTGCCGGGCCCCCGGGAGGCGCACGGTGTCGGGGCTGGAGCTGGCTCTGAGTAAGGTGTGGGATTTCTCCTTCCTCTCTCTTTCTGTCTCCAGTCCACAGGTGCTCAGGTCCAAGTGGCGGGGGACATGCTGCCCAATTCCACGGAGCGGGCAGTGACAATCTCGGGCACACCCGACGCAATTATCCAGTGTGTCAAACAGATCTGTGTGGTGATGCTGGAGGTACAGTCTGTAACAAAGGGGGTAAAGTACACATGGAAAAAAAATCCCAGCTGGGAGCTGTAGAGCGTGTCTCTCTCGTCCCCTTCACCATGCGCTGTTGGACCACTCTCATTTCCTGGTACCTCCGCTGGAAATACACCCTGTGTCTTTTCCCCACCATTGTCTGTAGTTTCTAGAGTCCCACACTGGAAGCCTGTCTGTTTGGGTGCCCCAAAGGAGGTGGTTTGTGTCAGAGCAGAGGGTGGCTTCAGGGCAGAGGGGTGCCAGCAAGCTGGGACAGCCTGGTCTGGCATCCCAGCAGCACCCAGGGTGCCATGAGAAGGACATGGGAGCTACAGCCACTGCTCCAGGAGCCTGATCTCTGCCTCACAAGGACCACAACCAGGAGGAGGAGGAGGCCACAGCATCCCCTGCACTGGTGGGGCTGGAACTGGGAGCACAAGGCTGTGTTCCAGTGAGGCACAGTGGGAATGGTAGTGAGGAAGGCTGGTGGAGAGCAGGGACTGTTGGGCACATGGATATATGTCCAAGGTGCCCTTTCCTGGGATAAATACTGACAAGGAGAGCTGGAAGATCTCTGCCATGGAGAAATGCTGCTGTACCAATTGCTGGAGATGACCTCAGCCACATGCCTTGTGTCCACACCTGCCACCTCAGATGGGAGAAGCTCCAGGAGAAAAGCCCCTGGGACACAGGATGGTGACACATTCCACTCCTGGTGCATACCAGAGAAAGACAAAGCAGGGACCAATGAAAGGCCCTCTACCTATCTGCACAGCCCTTTCACAGCAGGAAGAAGCATGTTTCCCACTGGAAAAGCTTCAGATAACAAGGCTTGGTGAAGGTGATGGAAAGCTAGATGGAAGCATCTTTAGCTTGGCAGCAGCACATCTCAGGAGGGATAGCCAGGAGCCACATTACCCATCCCTGCTGGCTGGGATGTTCAGACAGCGCACTGCTGTCAGAGGAAGTTTGGATGGCAGGTCACGGACTGTAACACCCAATGACTCCAGGTCATATACTGCAGCAGAGATGAGCCTGAGGTGATGCTTGCCAGGTATATTAAAAAGTTTTTCTCACAAAGCAAGATGTGCTGCTCCTCTGTACAGCTCAGCCATGGGAAAGAGAAAAATCCACAAGTCTTCTTGCAGTCTGAAATCTGGAAAGTGCCCTGGCTTTAATGGCTCACAGAGATGTTCCTTATCACCTTTCAGTCTTAAACAGATAATCCCAGCTCGTCCCCTTCAAGATTGTAATGTAATAAAAGAACAAGTGGGTTTGTGATGCTGGAGATGTACTTTGATCAGCTTTCCCACAGACAAGTGCTTAGCAGCAGGATTTAGATAATGCTGCTTGCCTACAAGTAGATATCCAAAGAATGTACAGGAAAAAAAAGAATTTTCCATGAGATAGTGTAATTTCTATTGCCTGTCCTTATATAGCAGTCACTGAGTTGTTTAATTTTGGGTAGAAAGCAGGAAGACAGCTGAAATCCCTCCTGATCCCTAGAAATCTCCTATAGCCTGTAAGTTGTTCAGGAGAAAACCAGGAGGGAGAACCTGGGTGAGCAGCGCCTACACATCACACCAGCAGCTGATTCACTGCAGCTTTGCTGAGACCTACCCAGGGACCTGACAGAGAGCAGCAAGACCACAGAATCATGGAATCACAGAATGTGTGGGTTGGAAGGACCTTAAAGGCCATCTAATTCCAGCCCCCTGCCATGTGCAGGGACACCTCTCAGCTGACCACAGGTGCCTTGCAGCACCCACATCACAGCTCTGACAGCGATGGGCTGCACCAAGGCCTGAAGGGGACCCTGTTCCAGCAGTGTGGAAGATGAGGGCAGCCAAAGAGCTTGAGCACGGTGCCCGGTTGCTCAGATGGGCTGTACCTCCCCATCTTGCTGCTTGAGGCTCTCCTCAGGGCGTTCTGAGGAGGGTTCCCAGTGCCTAGAGCAGGCGATGTGGCTTGCACAGAGCAGAGCAAAGCTGAGGGAGGCAGCGGAGGTCCAGGAGGCCATTTAGGGGCCCGTGCCTTGGCAGGGGATCTCCCGTGCCCCAGGTTGTCCTTGTTGCCCATGAAACCCCTCTTTCCCCCATGTGCTCCTGTCCAGAAACGCGGTGTTGCCTGGTGTGGGTGTTGCTGTGGCGGCCCTGGGGGCCGTGCTCCATTAGGTGCTTTCTAACACTCTTTTTGCCGCCGTTTCAGGAAAGCTGTTCTAATGTTCTCTCTCCCTCTCCTTATCCCTTTTCCTAGTCCCCACCAAAAGGTGCCACCATTCCCTACCGCCCAAAGCCCGCCTCCACCCCTGTCATTTTTGCAGGTGGTCAGGTAAGAGCCGACCCGCTTGCAGCCTCCACTGCCAACCTCAGCCTTTTACTGCAGCACCAGCCGCTGCCCGTTAGTGCACTCAGGTTTCTTGCCTTCTGACTTGCATGGTGTCATCCCATCCGTTGTGTGCCATGGCAGCTGGACTGAAAGCTCTCGGCTTAGCTCCTGTGATGGGTGCTGGACAATGAGCAGAAGGGAAGAGCCAGGCTGGGGAGACAGGGTGTCATCTCCATGTCAGGGTGTCACACAAAGGAAAGGCTGGAATTTACTTCACTAGACCCAAGTTCAGTATTTGTCAGTGGTTGAGAAGGAGAGGATTAGAAAAGCATTGTTGAACATGAGGCTGTCACTGCTCTCTGGCACCTCCAGCTCAATTAAAAATACCTTTGTGTAGCTGTAATTGATCCAAGATAGGAAGGGTTTGTTGCAGCTACTCCTCTGCTCGGGGCAGCCACCATAGAAGAGCTGTGTCCCGCTCCCTGGAGCTCAGCTGGTTTGGGGTACTGCTTCCCCCTGTGGCAGAGCCTGCACTGTGTCACCCCCAGTGCAACTGCAGCTTTGCAGATATCATGTGCTATTTCCAGCAGTGAGCTTTGGGGTGGTTTTTCCTTTGTGGGATAAACATCACATGGATGAGCTGGAGGTTATTCTGAAAACAAAAATCTGCAGAAGCAAGAGCAACTGAGCACATGGCTGTTTCAAAAGAGGGAACTTGCACTGTTGCTTTCTCCACCTCATCTCCTCACCTCACCTGGTGACTGAGGGTCTGCCTTTAGATGCCACCCTGCTGAGGTGCATGACATCCAGTAGGGGATGTACCTTCTCAAGAGCTCCAGCATCCAGGTAGGGCCAGCACCACAAAACCATAGCTTATGCCACCCAGAGCAGCTCCACACAAGTTATTTAATTTCTCTCCAACCATAATAAATAGAAGGACAAACTAAGAACAGGAGCAAAGCCCAGAGCACAGGCTATTTCAGGCTGAATTAGTCAATCATTGGGATCAGGAGTGTGTCACTTCATCTGAGCAGCCGTTCTGGAAAAGAACTTCAAGTCCAGCTGCCTGGTCTGTTCAAAAGGGAGAGTAAGATGGAGGCAGCAATTCTTCTGCTGTGAATGGCTGGTTTCTTGGACAGAAGTAACATCATGGGAAGAAGCAACTGTCTCTGAAGTGAGAGCTATTCCCAATGTTGGGAGCCCTTTGGCTCTGCCTGAGGGGTGGCACAGGGCGGGTGGGCCGAGGACAGCTGGTGACAGTGGTGACAGGTATTTGGGGTGGGATGAGCCTCCAGGAGCTCAGCAGGCTGAGTGATGTAGCAGCCAACAGCAGCTGCCAAAGGGAGCAGCCCTCAAAGGTCAAAGTTGAGTTGCTTCTGTCCAAGACACCTTCCTGCCCTTGATTACCTTTTTTGACTCAGTTTTTCTGATCAAAAACCAATGGCCAAATTAAACCACCAGGATAGGCAACTTTTCAGCCTCTGTCGTGTCCCCATTTTGCTGGGATGCTGGTGGGCACTGGGACAGCCATTTTCCCTTTTCCTCCTGCATGATTTTGGGGGTTTCCTTCACACAAAGCATTTTGCTCTTTGCAAACAATGCAGCAAATTTGCAGGTGGTTCCAAGGCTTTTTCCTTTCATTTTTCTTGGCAATCTTTACTCTCCCTTTTCAAAGTGTTCTCCATCTCTTTTGCCATTTCTTTCAGAATCATCTGAATAATGTGTCAACAAGGGAGATATATTTTGCGAGCTGGTTAAGGCTCTCTAGCATCACATTGGTGCTTATTTTGGGGTTATTTACAAACAAAAAGAGAAAGGATTGCTACAAAGGATGGGAAAAACACACAAATCCATTTGCCTGGCAGATACTTGCATGGATTTATCAATTACAGCTGGTGAAAGGCATCACAGTGCAGGCAGCCCTCGCCTCCATGCCTTTCTAATGCCCCAGCAGAGCACTGGAATATACTGGGTGAATGTAAAGCATCCACTGGGACTTGTGCACCTGGAATAGGGAGAGGCTCACAGAGCTGGTTTGCTTTTTGGGATCATGCTTGGTCTGTGATGTCAGTGTGTACCTGCTACACAGGTTCTGGTTATCAGAGGGGCACTAAAGATCATCCACTTTCAACCTCCATGCAACTGATCCTTATTTTCTCTACAGCAAAGACCAGCCACAGCCTGATAGTTCTGCTCCATGCGATGCTGTCACCTGTAAAGAGGTGTTTCTTTCCTTCTGAAAAAGCCAAACTGAGCCTGAGCCCTTGAAGTCAGGTAGCTCAGCATGCTCTAGGTTGAATGGGAGGTGGAACATCTCCCTCCTGCCCAAGGATTTGGTGCCCCAGGGAATTTAATGTGGTACAGAGGGTCCCAACAGAGGGATGGAGTTCTCTTCTCAGGTCCTGCCAGCCCTGGTAACATCTTTGTTTTTCCTTTACAGGCCTATACAATTCAGGGACAATACGCTATTCCACACCCAGATGTGAGTTTTACACTAATTTTTCTTATACCCTTTTCTGTCACCTGCATGCTACTGTCAATTCACATAATATTAATATTAGCCAGTAATATTAATAGCATATTTTCAAAGTAACTGGCTGTGTGTAGTATCTGTAATACCTCGAATAGCCTTTTAACCTGTTAGCACTAAACTTTTATTACTTCTGAGGACTTGGCCTGATGCTAAATTGTTTGCATTAATCAGTGCTATCCCTTTATTCTGAGAGAAACCTGTGCATTTTGTGCCTCAAAATGATCAAAACAGGAAAAAAAACCACCACAACTTTCCCTTCTATTTCCCCCTTGTCTTTAAAATGTTGGTAAGCCAAAGGCATATTTAGCTGCTGAGTGTCTTGGTGGGGTGGGAAGAAACCAGAGCTCTGGAGGTTTTGTGCTTGAAGCCTGGGCAGGGATGTGCCTTTCTGAAGGGGTGCTCCTTTGGGTGACATGGAAACTGGACAAATCCTCCACTGTGTCTCCCAGAGGGATGGGGAAGGTGTTCATGCTGAATCTCACCTTGCTGAGGGCCCCCAGACCAAGGTGGTCACCGTGGGTTTGGTGGCTGTCTCACTGCTGTGGGTGGCAGGGCAGCATGGGGACACCCCCCATTCACCTGGGGCTCCTTGGTGCAGAGACAGGAGCTGCTCTGAGCTGCTCTCACTGAGGCTTGCTGATGCTGGCATCCCCTGGGCTCCCATGCCTGTGGAGGGTCAGGAAGCACTTTTGTGGGGGGACATGTAGGGATCAACAGCTGGAATGTGTGCATCTGAAATTACCAAGGGAAATAGAAAATCAGGCTGTTTGAAGGATTTCCTTGAGGAAACCAGTGAAGATCAGCTTCTGAGATGGTCATGGCTCTTAGAAAAGGCAGGCACTTTCTAGATGTGTTTCCAAGGGGATAAAATACCCATTGGGTCCCATTGCAGAGGGTCCCTCCTGCTGTGAGGCAGGGGTCTGCAGTGGGGCTGAGGATGTGACAGTGGGTGGAAAGCCTTCTCCAGTCATCCCACCCATGGGAAGGGGTTGATGCAGCTCAGTGTTCCCTTTTCCAGTGAGTGCATTGGATACTAAATAATGGAATTACATTTTCCATGGTTAAGAAGGTGGCAAGGCTGTTTGATTCCATGAATGCCTGCCCCATATGGGAACATTTGGGAGCTGTAGGCTGGATTTTCATCCTAGGAGAAATGGTTTCTCTGGAATTAGAGGAATCCAGGCTTTGGCTTTCCATGTCACACCAGTATGTGTGTACTCTGAACAGCCTGTGGTGATGGTTGATAAGAAATATTCCTAATTATTTACTCTGCTTTTGCTCCATAAGCAGAATACAACTAAATAACTTGTATAGTTAGGGGAGATCAATGCAGTCTTTATCCCAGTTTTTCTTTGCAAGTGATGTCAACAGCTTAATGTTTTCCTTGTTCCTGTATTCCTCTGATTGTCAGGATTAAAACACATTTTCTGACTGCACTCTGCCTCACTCCCAGCAAATTTCCTGAATTAAGCTGTTGGTACAGGTCTACTCACTCCATCCTTACTCTCAGGGTGTTCTTTCAATGACTGGTCATTTTAAACAATGTTCAGTGCAGAATCCAGTCTAGAATGTGCTTTTAGGGCATTTTAAACATGTTTTAGGTGTCTGAGTTTAGTGCCTGTCTTTTGCAAAGCAGGCAGAATTTTGAATGCCCAGCATGTTCTCCTGCAGTGATTTTGTCCCTGGACAAACACTCTGGGGCAGGGGAAGCTTTGGTTCAGTCGGGGCTTCAGCAATGCCTGGGTGTTTTTGGCTGTTTGGGATGTGATGGGTAGCTGCCTGCCATCAAAGCTGTGGGATCATAGAGTCAGAGACTGGGTTGGGTTGGAAGGACCCTTAAAACTCATCTCACTCCAAACCCCTGCCATGGGCAGGGACACCTTCCACTATCCCAGGCTGTTCCAAGCCCCAATGTCCAACCTGGCCTTAGACACTTGCAGGGATCCAAGAGCAGCCACAGCTTCTCTGGGCACCCTGTGCCAGGGGCCTCAGCACCCTCATAGGGAACAATTCCTCCCCAATATCCCATCTAATCCTGCCCTCTGTCAATATGAAGCCATTCCCCCCTGTCCTGTAACTCCAGGCCCTTGTCCAAAGTCCCTCTCCAGCTCTCTTGGACCCCCTTTAGTCCCCTGGAGCATCTCCGTGACCTCCTCTGGACTCGCTCCAAGAGATCCATGTCCTTCCTGTGCTGGAGCCCCCAGAGCTGGATGCAGTACTTCAGGTACATCTCACCAGAGCAGAGGGGGACAATCCCCTCCCTTGACCGGGGAAGATGAGCTGGAAGAGATGATGTAGCAGCTTTTTCTATGACACCTGGATGCAGCCATCTTCTCCTCTCCTAGCCTTGTTTATTGCTCTAATTGCAGGGGCTGCATAAATACCACTATCCAAACTATGTCTGGAAAGTCTACTAGGTCAGTGTTAGAAAAGATTTTGGTCTCCCCCACTTGGCAAAGCAGAACCGGTGTCTCAGGGCACAGCTGGAGCCCACTGGGCAAAGAGATTTCATCTGGAGTCCTGCCAGTGGGACCAGGTGTCACATGGAATTCCAGAAACCGGGTGCAGCTCCAGAAAACAGGATAGTTCTGGAGTTAAAAAGAAGTAGATGCTGATGTCCCTGCTCCCTACAGGAGCAGTGGCATGCCCACTGTTATCTGTGTTGTGGCAGAAACCCATCATATCACACCTTTGGCTAAAGTAAGCCAATGACAGCCAAAATAGGCACAGAGATGTGCAGACACCTCTTTTTGTGGAGTGGTGAGACCTCTCCCCTGAGGCAGCAGAGGCTGGGTGTCCTCATGCTTCTCCAGACAGGACAGGGATCCCATGGATAAGCTGTCCAGGGATTTTCAGGTCTTTCACTCCTTCCTGCTGCTTCCCTCCAGCCTCCCCTAGTGTGCACAGGCCCCCAGGTGAGCTCTTCCCAGCATTTCCCCCCCACTGCTGCCAGCCAGACCTCCCCACTCTCCCTCCCCAGCCCTGCTGCAGCAGCAAGGAGGTGTTTGAGTCTTGCTGTCCCTCAAAACATCGAAACTATAACTCCTGCCTCCCCATTGCCAGGGATGATGGGCAAAAGAAGCAGTTTAAATTTGGGGGGTGATGCTATGCTGACAACTCCCAGAGCACCTGTGAAAGTGGGAGGTGATAAAGAGTCTCCCTCCTGCTCACTGCCAGTCTTCAGCCCAGTTTGGTTTGTTTTCTTTCCTTTTCCTGTCTTTTTGGTTTTTTGGTTTGTTTTTGGTTTTTTGTTTGTTTGGGGGTTTTTTAAATTTGTTTGTTTGTTTGTTTTGGGTTTTTTTGTTTGTTTTGGTTTGGTTTTTGTTGTTGTTGTTGTTTTTGTTTTTTAAATTTGGAGCAGTAAAACTGAGCACAAAATGTATTCCAAACAAGCACCTCTCTATAAAACTTCCTGAGCAGGCAGCAAAACCTCTTCAGTACAACAAGGGATACAAGGATCTGAAATACCTACTGGTCATGACTGAAACCCATAATTCCCCATATTTCTAATGACCTGGCATAAAGAAATGCTGTTTATCCATCTCCCAGAGGCACTTCCCACTGGAGGCACAGCACAAGAACATGTGCTGTGGGGACAAGTGGTGACAATGTGGCCCTGGGGGGACAAAGAGTTCCTGGGTGCTGGCTGTGACGCCCACCAGCTGGCTCTGCACTGAGGCAGAGGAGTTGAACTGACACTAAGAATGGGCTTCCTGCTGGTATCGTACTTCAGACCCTGACCAAGCACTTCTGCCAAAGATTTGGGCTTTATTGCAGTATACCCAGGCCAAGTCCTTTCTGCTAATGTTTTTGCCATGTCTCACCATGGCTTCCTGTTTTTTGGGTTTTTTTTAGGTTTTTTTTCTTATATTTTTTGATTTGTTTTCCTTCTCCTCCCCCCCCGCCCCATTATAATTTTGTTCTTGCTTTTCGGTGTGACTTGTTGTACTCTATGACAATAACCTTCTTAGCTCTAATGTCCCTCCTACCCCTCAGCAGTTGACCAAGCTCCACCAGTTGGCTATGCAGCAAACCCCCTTTACTCCCCTTGGACAGACCACCCCCGCTTTCCCTGGTACGTACCCACACGCCCTTTCAAGATATCCTTCTCTTACCTGTAGAGTTTCTCTCTCTTTCTAAACTCTTGTTGTTTAATGGAAATGAGCAGGGCGAGTAAAAAGTGGCAATATCCATGGGGAGAGGTTAAGGAGAGGCTTAATGGATGTTGTGGGGGTTATGGTGCTCAAGGGCAAGCTCTCAGCCTGGGCTTTCCTGGCAGAAGCCGTGAGCACCGTCCCTTCCTCCACGGAGGAGGCAGCATCCTCTGCCCCGCGCCGCTCCAGATTCTGGCGGGACATCCGCGCTCTCCCCGCGGGACATCCGCACTCTCCCGGCGGGACATCCGCGCCTTCCCGGCGGAAGCGGCTCGGGGCCGGCCGGGGGTGCTGCCTCGGGGAGCAGTGCTGAGCCAGGCAGGACGGCACTCCCGCAGTGGCAAGGAGTCATGGCCGGAGGGGCTGCGCTGACGGGAGGACAGCCAGGCCTGGCGTGGCCCGAGCCTTGTTCTCAAGGCTGGCATGTTCCCGGTGACCTGGGAAGCAGATAGAGCACAGGGTATGGAGGTACTTAAAGTACTGCTTGGAAATTACTTTTCTGATGGTATGTTCATCATATTTTGAGCTTCCTAGATGAAGTGACATTGCTTATCTCCTCGAAGGGAAAAGCATTAAACCTGTTTCTTCTTTGCTCTTCAGGAGAAAAGCTGCCCTTACATTCCTCCGAAGAAGCTCAAAATCTGATGGGCCAGTCATCAGGTAAAACACAAAGCTAGAGGGAAGTAAGCAGGCTTTGGTTGAAATGTATTCCGTAAATAGGACTGTGCCATTGTTGTGTTCTGAGAGGAATCATGGTATTCATGGAGAAGACAGCAGATTGTCTTGGTGAGCAGGGCAGCACTCTTCTCCTTGGTGCAGCATGTCAAAGGAAAAGTGCCTGGGCTTTATTACCTGGCTCTGTGATCAAAGGAAAAGTGCCTGGGCTTTATTACCTGGCTCTGTGATCAAAGGAAAAGTGCCTGGGCTTTATTACCTGGCTCTGTGATGTTTGTGCGTAACTGCCATAGAACCACAGAATATCTTGAGTTGGAAGGAGGGACGCACAAGGATCATCCAGTCCAACCCCTGGCCTTGCAAAGACACCCCAACAATCCCACCCTGTGCATCCCTGAGAGCATTGTTCAAATGCTCCTTGGGCTCTGGCAGCCTTGGTGCCGTACCCATGCCCTGGGGAGCCTGGGCAGTGCCCGACACCCTCTGGGGGAAGAGCCTTTTCCTGATCTCCAGCCTGACCCTCTCCTGACACAGCTTCATGCTGTTCCCTTAAGTTCTGTCTCTAGCCACAGAGAGCAGAGATCTGTGCTGCCCCTCAGGTGTGGTGAGGTCTCCCTCAATTCTGTCTGTGTAGCAGAAAGATACCATAGTCACTACCCTTATTCCTGCCTTTAATTTTGCATAAACTTTGCTCAGAAACAACAGAACAGTGTCGATGGGAACAGCCATGACATGCAGCTCCGAGCCATTCAGGATGAGTTGCAATTTTAGTGGGACAGGACCCTGAGGAGCCAATGTGTGGCTGCAGCCTTGGAGAAATTTTGCTGTCAGATGTCCCACATTCATCCGTGAGGAAGAGATTTGTCCTTTTTTTCCTACCATTGCATAGAGGAGCTATCTAGAGACCTGGAGGCTCACAGGCAGGATGAACCAGACCTGCAGCACACAGCCATCCTTTGCATGCCTCAAAGGTTTGGTGACAGCACCTAATTATGAAAGCAAGCATAGCCTGTGCAAATAGACCCCACAAGACTGCAGAAATACAGATTTCATGACACTGACCTATGCAGCCATGTTTTCTCCATGCCCCCTTTGCCCTTTGCAGTCAACCAAGGCATTAATCCTGCCCTGACACCTGTTACAGGCTCAAGAACAGCTTGTACATATCAGAGAAGCAGAATCTGGAGTAAGGAAATAAATAGTTTCCATGTCATGGAGAAGAATGTGGCCATTCCTCAAAGGCTGTGTGATGCAGGGGTGGTGCAGTACCATGGCACCAGATGTTGCAAGGGCTTTCAGCATCATCCCTGTCATCTGAGTGTGGGATGGAGGATGCTGCCTTGGAGTCAGAGGAGCTTAGTTTCTATTCCCTAAGATCCCTGGATGGCTCAGTGCTGCTCAGAGCCCTCACTGGCACTCTGCTCCCTTCAGAAGACATTTTCTGCCACACCCAGGCTGTTGCTGATCTGAACCTTGTAACACATGGCCAAGGGAAAGACACCCTCACCAGAGGGATATGTCTGTGATAGGTGCAGTTCACCTTGCCCCAAACTGTGAGGAGGCTCAGTGTACTGGCCAGTCCAGGTGAAGTGTGTGCTGTAAAGCCAGCATGGAGCATGGAGCATTGACTGTGGTGTAATACCTGGGCAGGAGATGTTTTGTGCAGGTTTTGGCATTAGTACCCCTGGCAGGGGTGAATGACAGCAGAGGGCTGCCAGCTGGAGAATCTGCATCCTCACTCCCTGCAATTCCTCTTCTCTCTGTGCTCCCAAGTGAAAAATCTGGTGAAGAAGCCTCCTGCAGGAAAATGTCAGTGATGTGTGTCTGGGAAGATGCATTCAGGGAAGCACAGGAAGTACATTGCCCCATAATCATGGAATGGTTTGGGTTGGTAGGGCCCTTACAGCCCATCTTGTTCTAGCCCCCTGCCATGGGCAGGGACACCTTCCACTAAACCAGGTTGTACTAAATCCCATCTACCCTGGCTGTGAACACTTCCAGGGATGGGACAGCCACAGCTTCTCTGGACAACTGGTGTCAGGGCCTCCTCACCCTCACTTCCTAACATCCTAAGATCATGCATGAGCACATCAGAGATAACCAGAGCTCCTCTTCCTCTGTGCTGAGGCCCTCCATGGAAATATGTCAGGAATTGGATGCTGCTGCTCTCTTGTTTTGCAGGAGCCCTGCAGTCTCTTTGTCTCTTCATTCTGCACCTCCTTAACCACCCTCTTTCCATGGATACAGATCTGGCAGTCTCTTCTGTTCTTACAAGCTTTCATAAGTGTTTTGTATCATAAGGATAAGGGGTTTTTTTTTCCAGTTACTGCAAATTCCTGACAGGCACCAGACAGCTTCTTTCTTGCAGATTTCACATAGTATGGTCCCTGCTTTGGCACTGAGGTGATTTAATATGGGAAGCCATGGGAGAGGCAGGAGAGGAGAGGCAGGCTTTGACCTAGGAGCACGATGGCATGGTGTCCTCTTACTTCTGGAGCTGCACTCACAGGATATCCTGCTGGCTCCAGCCATTTCCACCATGGAGGAGAGAGCTCTCCCTGACCCAGGGGAGGGTGGGAGGAAACACACCACTGCCTTCGCTCCTCACTGTGTGATTTTGGAGGGAGGCAGGATCTAGATCTCCATACTGTTCATCTTGCTTTCCCTTGGGAATAAGAGGGACAGCTGGTCCTGGGTCCAGCTAGGTCGCATGTCTTAGCAATCTGTCTCAAATTCAGCATGAGAGTCTGTGAGGCTTAACTTGCAGAGGACTTGTGCCAGCGGATCCCACGGGGATACTGGTTTTGGGGCACTGAGCTTCTGTCACATGCCAGCAGCTCAATGCTGCTGCATCCAGAGAGGGCTGGAGGGTGCATGGACAGCATTCCTGTGGGGCTGGTGGGTGTCCCAGGCGGCATGCTCTTTGTTGCTGTGTGGGAAGTTGTTTCACCCACCTCTCTTTGCTGATGCTGGAACCTTGCACTCTCCTCTGAAGCCATTCCCAGTGGAAAGGATGAAGGGTGGGAAGCGAAGCACTCATGGGATGCAGGGAAGGTGACACCCACCTCCACCAGAGTCAGGTAGCAACTGTCTTCCTCCTCCTTGTCCCGGAGTGTGTGATCCCCTTCCCCTCCCAGCCCGGAGCAGGACGCAGCCTTGGCAGTGTTGCGGGAAAGCAGCGGAGCTCTGTCGCGCTGCCTCTGCCGGCTCTAACCATGTTCCTTTGCATCTGCCCAGGTTTGGATGCCAGTCCCCCGGCCAGTACTCATGAACTCACCATTCCCAATGATGTAAGTAAATCCAAGTGCTTCTTGGCATGTCCGTGTGCGCGTGTGTATATACACATACATGTTTACATATATATACATATATCTACGTATAGTGTGCAGCTATTTGGCTTTGTTAAATACATTTAGAGATGCCCCTTCCCCATGTTCCTTCATCCATGTGCAGTCCGTTGGGGATCAACCTGCAGCACAAAGCACCCATTGGACTTTACTCCGTCTGTAGCTTGCCTAGGTACAATCCTTAGTGCTCCATTTTCCTTTCTAAGTGAACTCAGTGCTCATGAAACATGCCCAGTTAACAGCACTGGGAAAGGGAGAGCTCCCATGCCAGCCCTGATTAATTGCTTAATCAGGCCATGGCAGGTCTGAGATGATGTTCCAGCTCAAGGGTGGTGATGGGGTGGGATGGTGGGGAAGAGGAGGTAAGTGACGTTTCTGATGCCACAAAGTGCCACACAAGTGTCTGAAGGACAGTGCGTCTCATCTTAGTACTGCTGGCAGGCAGATGTGGGGTCTGATAGGTGGAAGCTTTGTGGTAACATGGGTGCTGGACTGGGATATTTGCTGGGAGGAAGCTGGAGCCATGCTGGGCAGGGAGGAGGTGGGATGGAGAGCACGACACAGCCAGCACCTGGATCCATGAGCCTCACTTGCTTCTGGACTGGTTTCTATGGATTAAGATCCAGTCTGTGCTCAAATCAGGATGAGGGCAAGTGGAGGGATGACATCCAATCTCTGCTCCCACCTCCATCACTAACAAGCACCTTCAGCCCATCCCTCATCAGGAGTCTCTGGATGGGGCCTGGCAGCTGCTGCTCCTTCTTCCTGCTGTTCATCAGCAGCTGGCCGTGCCCTGGCAGGGCAGCAATCCCGGCTGCAGCTGCCGGGCACCTCTGCCAAGACTTGTGTCCACCCAAGAGACATGGCAGTGCAAGAGCCTGTGAGCACCTGCTGACTGAAACCCTTGGAGGTGCTTTGCCCTAGGCCAAATCACCACGGAAGGGATCTACAGAGGAGACAGTGGGGGCCTGATCCCAGATCTGCTCCACCCAGCAAGGACCCCTCTCCAGGAGGCTGGAGGGAGCTCTGCAAGTGCTCCTGAGTCTCCAGCAGCCACGTCTGCTGAGCAATGAAGACATCTTCAGAAACAAAGAGCCCCCTTGCAAAAGAACTCACATGGGAGGAAAGGATGCCAGGAGACGTTTGGAAGTTCAGGAGCATTCAGAGCATTCACTCACCAGAGACCCAGCTCTCACCAGACCTGGGAGATACTAGATGTTATCACCTGCATCTTGAAAAACTCCTCCTTAGCTCCCCGCATTGTTGTTTCAAAACCTTTTAAACACCCACTGCCACCCTCTCAGGAAGCAGAGGACATGTTTGGGTTCCTTTAAGAGTCACCAGGTGTGTTTTAGTGGTGTAGCTTGGAGTTGTGCTACAGTGGAACAAAATCGGATGATACCAAACTTGGGCGTAGCTGAGCATCTGACTAAATAGTTTGGCTCCTCAGGTCTCTCCAGCAGATTTTCATTTGCTGAAGCATCTCAGAGTTATTTCTGTGCTGTGAAGACCAGAATGGGCTGAACATTCCCCCACAGACCCTGGGACAGTGGATACCCTTCTGGTGTATATTCAAGTCCATATGGGATAAACCACCATTGCAGCCCCATGGTCTGATCAAAGGATCAGGGAGTATTTGGAGAAGTAATTGTCTTTACTTATACTGTGCAGAAATCCAGCAGCTGCCAAGATGAATATCCCATGTATAAAATGCCCTTGGAAAAGAGCTTAAATGGCCAAGAAGGGCGTGCAGAGCACTTCATGCCCGTGTTGGTCAAGCTGGATATCCCCGTATGTGTTACCAAGCTTTGGTGATGATTTGAGGGAGATAGACAAATGAGCAAAGACCATTGAAGAAATTCAATGCCACTGAGGATCATTGAGGAAATTCAAGGGATGAACATTTGAGGAAATTCAAGTCTCCACCCGGCTCTGATTTTTTCAAAAGAGTACACAAGACGTGCTTTTACGTGGGATCCACTTTTTCTGAGGGTGCCACAGCTGTGTGGTGCTCTCTTGTGCCCGCTGGCAAGCCACTGGATTGCACCAAAAGAGCTAGAGGGGGTAGCAGAGGCACTGAGGGTGTCCCAGTGGGATAGAAGAAATGTGGGATGGGGTCACTGCACCAGCTGATGAGGGGACTCCTGGGGTTGGTCTGTCACCAGGGAAGGCAGCAGGCTTGTTTCCTTATAGTAATGTGTCCAAACCACCTTTGGGTTTGCTGTGCCTGGCAAGAGGATAAGTACTTGCAAAACATTGACCATTCATTAAACCATGAAAATTATTATTACTGAAATGAGTCCTCCTTGAAGCCCTTTGAGGTGCTGGGCACCATGTGCAGATAATGGAGATTCTTCCTCACAAGGAGCAGAGCGGGGCTGGTCTCTGGATGTGTCCTTGGAGGACCATGCTCACGTGCTGGTAGGAATCACCCCAGGCTGTCCCTCTCCTGTTTTCATGAGCATTAAGGTCACTCTTGTCCCAGGTGTGCTCACGTCCTGCTGGTGACTGCCAGAGCTGCCGCTTCTCAGACATTCCCTCCGTGCTTTCTTTCCTAGCTAATAGGCTGCATAATCGGACGCCAAGGGACCAAAATCAATGAAATTCGTCAGATGTCGGGAGCGCAGATCAAAATCGCGAATGCCACGGAAGGGTCATCGGAGCGCCAAATTACTATCACAGGAACCCCTGCAAACATCAGCCTTGCGCAGTACCTCATCAACGCCAGGTGAGACCCCCTGCCGACCTCCACCGCCTCCCACCACAGCCGATCCCATCCCACCATGGCCGAGCCTGTCCTGCCGGCACTCAGGGAGCAACACGCGCTCCTGGTGCCAGGGGCCAGCAGGGGCTTCCCAAGGGCAGCTGGGATGGTCTTGCTAAGACCTCTGAGCAGGGACCAGACATTGCCAGCAGGACATCTGGCCTCAGCTGGCACTTTGGCTGAGGACCAGGAGCCACCATGCTGCTGGCGGAGTGGCCGCAGGTCACACCAGGCGCCTGCCTTCCCTCCACCCTCGCTCAAGGATTTTGCTCGTGGGTAGGCCAAGTTGCCGCTGTCTGTCCTGTGGATGAGGCAGGGGATGGGGACAGGAATGGAGCTGAGCCACTTGCAGGGAGGCATCACTTGGGACCTGCTTGCAGGGATCCCAGCATCGCTCACTGCGTCTTCCACGTGCTTCCAGGCCTCCAAAAGGCGTTCCTCCATTCAGTGAAAACAATCAGTCCAATAAACGCAAGACTTGGGAATGGCCTGACTGCTTCCTTTTCATCATGAAAAGCTTGGCACTGCAGGATTTCACAGGGGCCAAGGTTTCCCAGCACTGCTGCCGTCCGGGGAGAGACGCAGCCTGTGCCATGGGAGCCAGCAAGGGCCTGCCAGGGCAGCGTGCAGGGGAGGCGTAGCTGCAGAGATGAGCTGGGGCCCTGCTCCATGCAGGCAGTGAGCTGCGTCCAGGGGGCTCACTCAGATCTGTTTGCCTGTGTCTGTGGACTCATGGGGAGTGCGTTTAAGGGGATACAGGACCTTTTTGGTATCTTTGCACCCACCTGGCAGAGTCACTCAAACGGGCCCATTCGCCTGGGCAGGATTGATGCTGTGCCAACCCGTCGCCAGCCCCGGATGCGTGCAGGAGGGAGGCTGCTGGCAGGGCCCCGAGGACGGGGGTCTGCTGGCAGTGATGGACACTTGTTGGGGTGTGGGCTGGGAGCACCGGTGAGGTCTGTATGTGCTTTGTCCTCCTTGCATCCAACCCACTCGAGCCCTGACCTGTAGTAGACCCCTGCCATCCCATCCTACCCCGCTGCCCATGCCCGTGGCACCTCTCCCACTGCTCGGGTGAGGGACAGGGCTAGCCCCCCACCCATGGGCATGGCTGAGTGACTTCCCTGCAGATCCTTGCCAATCCCCCCACCCCCGCCAGACAGGAGAGAGAAAGAAAAGAAAAAGAAGTGGCTCTTAGTTGCTGTAAAGGGCTGGCTGAGCTGCCCCTGTGCAGAGGTGAGGCGGCTGGATGGGGCTCAGCCTCTCCCATAGTTTCCAAACCAGAGCAAAACAAAGCAGCCAGGGGAGCTGGCACAGCTGCCTGTCCCCTGTGGAGGGATGCTGCTGGAAAAGAAGCTGTGCTCTGGGATGACTCCTGCCAGCACCTCTGGTGGGTGACACCCCAACCTGGCCACAGTGAGGAGAGGGGAATGCAGCCAGCCATTGCACTGGCTCTGTGCTTCAGCCCCCCATGCCCTCCCCGGGGGAACGCCAGGCCACCCAGTGATGCTCTGCCCACCCCATCTAGGTGGGATCTGGGCAAGAGGAAGAGGACTGCCCCGCAGGGTCTTCGTTTTCTTTTCTGCTCTGGTGATTAAGCACTTGTTTTTTGTCTCCCCCCCACCCCTCTCTCTGCCCCTGTCTATTCTAGGCTGACGTCTGAGGTCACTGGAATGGGCGCACTCTAATTTCCACCCACCATCCTCCACTCCGCACCACCCGACCCTCTCCAGCCACCGGCACTCCACCCAGCCTGTTCTGCCTGTACATTTACTGTCTTCCCTTTGCCTCCACAGATACTCTTCTCTTTACTAACATATATATATATATGTATATAAACACATGGGCGCATATGCACACATTGGAACGTTTCTTTACAAGCTCTTTGCTCTGTGCTCCCGAAGCTGCTCCCAAACTCTTTGGTTATGGTCCTTGTTTTCAGCGTTAGGGTGTTCATTCTTCATCTGCTTTTTGGGGACAAGGGAGGGGGGAGGAGGGGCATTGTTTTTTTCTCTCACTGGCAAGACTTCAGGAGCTGGCGGGGTCTCTAGTATCAGTCTAGCATAGCTACCTATATGTTTGAGTTGACATTGGCGGTACTTTCTGTAGCATATGGACATAATGATGCCACCCAGAGCTGTGCATATTTCAGATGACTTACTTTTTCTCACCCTCCTTCCTTTGGTGCTCTCCCTTGCTTGTCCTGGCTCACCTTTGCAGCCTCACGCCCCTGCCCTTAGGCTAAGGGCATATTTTTCATCCCGTGTCATTTGGGAAGCAGAAGCCAAGTACGGGTTCAACCCACAGGCTTCTCTCTTGGAACATGGCATGGTCCAGACAAGCCCATTTTCCTACTAAACTAAGGGAATCACACACAGAGAGATACACACAAATACTCTTTTTTTTAACTAACAAGCACCTGGAAGTGGGAAGAACTCAGCTGTATGGGATTCACACCCCCAGGGGCCTCTGAAAGCACTCTTTTGGCAATCCCCCACAAGCAAAACCTCAGGAAGCTCTGTGAGCCAGCTGTGTTTGTCGTTGTTTGTGTTCAATAAATGTCTGTGCAGCTCTGGTACTGATGGGCTCCGATTGTTCTTCTCCTGGGTCTCCCCAACAATGCCAGCCCCGTCCTTCCCTCTGCATCCTTCCACACCTTTTTAGCTACTTGGAGGGAAGGTGGGGGTTGTATGCAAGAGTTCTCAATTTTTTATTATTATCATTATTATTACTATTATTACTACTATTATTTATCATTGGCATAATAATTTTTTTTGTTTCATTTTTTTAGAGAAATGACCAATGCACTTCCTGAGTGGTTCCATGCTTTCTGGTTTTTGGGGTTTTTTTGTTTTTTTTTTTTCCAAAGGGAGAGTATTTGGCTTGCATAATCTTTTGGTTTTCCCTGAGATTAATTTATAGGTTATGGTGTGACAACCATCATGTCTCACTGCCCCCTTGTCTGGACGGATCTGCCATGTGTGTCTCCCATACCCTTCCCCAAGACCCTCTGTGCCCAGCCCTGCCTTCTGCTTCCAGGCTTGTCTTCTCTCTCCTGCCTCTCCAGCAGGGAAATGTACATTTTTCATCTGTTAATTCTGATTGTCCCTTTTCCCGGATTGCATATGAGGGGACCATGATACACTGTGTCCCCAGACAGCTGAAGCAGCCACACAGTACATTTTTGCACTGTACCACATGGGAAATGCGTTGTTTTTTGAGGTGAGCCCCAAGACTTTCTGGGCCTTTCCCTCTCTTCAACCCTCACTACCAGCAGGCACCACTGGCAGTTTCCCACCCTTCTCCTGCCAGGATGCTGGCCCACTTCTCCTCCTGTCTCCAGTAGTGCTTGCTCAGCACTCACACAGGCTGTGTCAGGGATCCCAGGCGATGCCACTGCATCAGTGGAGCCAAGGATGGGCAGGGGGCTGTGGGCTCCAGCAGGGAGCTGCTGGGGGTGAGAGCACAGCCCAGGAGCCCAGAAGGGTGAAGGTGGTGCCACTGAGCATCAGGGTTTGCTCTGCCCAGGTATCCTGAAACCTGTGCATGCTCAGCTGTCTGAAGCATTCCAAGCTTCTGTGGCTGAAAGGTGCTCCCAGATCCTCCATAAGGTGCATTGCTGCTGTCTTCAACCCCTTGCCCTGCTCTCCCCACTTTGGGTTCAGCTGTGCCTTTTGGGTTCAGCTGTACCTTTTGGGTGGCCCAGCGCCACACAGGCTCAAGAGCATCCTGTGGTTCCCCATCCAGAGGAGCACAGTTGCTGTGGGGAGTGCTGAGGGGCTCAGGGGGGGCCAGCAGCCCTTCCTGTCACCTCCCCCACGTATTTGTGCTGATGCTGAGGATGGAGGGAGGCAGGCACCAAACAGGGCCTCCTCCAAGTCGCGAACTGGCCAGCAAAGCACAGACCCACCTGCCAAGGTGGTGAGTCATCTGTTGGCAAGGAGCACTCCTGATCTTCTCCTGTTCCTCATTCTGCTTTAGAATAAGTGTTTTATCTGTTGGAAGAATGAAATATCTGTGTGTGAGACTCAGTGAAAATAACCACCCTGGTGGCCTGGGGGGTGAGCCACAGCAAAAGCTTCACCTCCCACTGCCACCATGCTCCATGGCAGCCTGGGGTGCTGTCCCCTCGGAGTGGGATGGTGTATGGAGGAAGCCAGCCCATCCTGCCATTCTTTGCTCCTCTGTGGGGCTGTAGGACAAGCTGGAGCATGAGGAGAGCTTCATGAGAAGATGGAGGCACAGCAGCAGCAGAATCACGTTGACCAAGACTGAGAAATCCATCCCAGGCCAACAAGGTTGTGGGATTTAGACACCTGGGGAAGGCCAGGTAGTGTGACAGCATCCTGGACACAGAAGTGGCTTTGCACAGTGCCTGCAGATCATGGCTGCTCTGAATTCCTCTGCTCTGTGTGTGTGCTCCCTGTGCCATTCCCCACCTCCACTGAGACAGTGCTGCCGAAAATAGCAAATGCCAGGTTGGGGCTGCCAGACGCAGCTGAGCTCAGAGGCTGCTGGAGTGGGGGAGCAGACTGCAGCAAAACCTCTGCAGCCATCCCCACACCAGCGAACCCACTGATAACACCCCCTCTGGGCACCATCCCCATCCCAGCCCACTGCCAGGCATCCATCACCCAGCCAGGCTGCAGGAAAGTCACCCCAGGAATCAGTGGTGAGGCAGAAGAGGCTGGATTTGAGTGTTGCTCGTTGTGTCAAGGCTTGTGCCCCCACAAGGATCTGTGCTGATGGGAGTGCTCCAGGGAATGCTGGATGCAGCCACAGGGGGACAAGGGACAGTCCAAGCAGTAGCATTCACCTGGGTCACCTCACAGGAGCACTGCACAGTCATAGAATCCTAGAATATCCTCAGCTGGAAGGATTCTGCAAGGATCATTGAGTCCAGCTCCTGATACTGCACAGGACAACCTGAAGCATCCCTCCTCCTGGCATTCCCTTTGACTTCACAACTTTTCTTTGGGGGTCACATTGCCAAGCTTATTTTGCAAATTTATAAAGGAAAAAAAAAAGATGAAACTGCAGTGTTATGTGGGAATCAGATTATCCATCATCATCTGGGCTTGTGTGAGGTTTGGAGAAAGGTGTTGAAACCATTGCAGCATCTCTTGGGAGCATCTTGATCTCAACAAGGATAACAACAAAATTACAAGGAATGTATCAAACTCAGCTTTGATTTCCTTGGGATGACTCAAAAGGAGATTTGCTATTTTCTTTGGAAGGAGCCTTAGTGTTTTGCTTTGATTTGTGATAGGTCTTGCGTTTCCATTTTAGATGAACTTGAAATACTGTGATGATGCGTCCACAGCCATGCCACTGGGAAAAATCTCTAATACTACTGTGAATAGTCAGTACAAGGTGAATGTCCCAGTTAATAAACAGAATAGCTTTAGTACATTGCTTTTCTCTCCCAAAACAATGCAATGTTATCCAGCCAGAATGATTTAAAATTTCTGGAAGCAACCAACTCAGTCAAACTCTTTAGGAATGAATTATTTAAGGGGATATTTTGATTTTGACTGGAAAGTATTGGTCCAGTGCCTCCTCCTGCCCCTGGACTGTGGGGATCTCCATCAGAGAGGGGCCAGTTGAGGTCTGTGCTCAGCCCTGTGGCCTCAGCAGAAGGTCCCCACTCCCCCTGCATATCCTTGTTGTGCTCCCAAAATTGTTTGGAGTATTTTTTTGTGCATTTTTCTCCCCCTAGACGGTATTTGCAAAACTAGTACAGAATAAGGCTGAAAAAAAATAGACTGTTTCCCCTAAGGGAAAGTGACTTTCACAGGGGAGACTCTTTAAATTTCATCCTCTCTTTGAGCTGTTACTCCAGCATTTGTTATTGTGTCCATGCTGGTCACTTTTAATTATATTAATTCCCAGTTTATGCTCCATTACCATGGGTAATCTCTTGTCTCCTGTACGGGCAGAGGTAGAGTTTCTGGGGGATCTCTGCGTGGTGTGGCAGGGATGAATGCTTAATCCCATTTTCTCCTTGGCCACAGGGATGGAAGGCATCTTCCCCTAGCCCTGCCGGGCTGCAGCCCCCGCCCCGGGAGCGTAGCCGGTCCCCGGCTCTGAGCGCCTCCGGCTGGTCACTAGATGTCCCCATTGCCCAGCTTTTCATGGATCATGGACAGCCACGCCGGGATGTGGGCGGCACTGGGATGTCCGGCGCTTCCAGCCGCTGCGCCGGTGCGTGCAGAGGACATCCCGCGCTGCTGGAAAGGGAGCGGGCTTCTGTGTGTGTGTGTCCGTGACACTGGTGACGGGCAGTGGCATCCCGCGAGCGGGACACTGGCACCGTCCCCCGATGTAGGAATGGTCCTGTCAGTGCTGGGACCTTCGTGGAGCCAGCCCACATGGGCAAGGATGTGTGTCGAGCACAAGCCATCCCCTTATGTTGGCCGGAGCCCCCTCTGGCTGGCAGAAGGACAAGGTTTTGCTGGGGAGGTGCAACGACTCTCCATGCCCGTGGTCCCCAGGGACGCATTCCCAAGCTGCCTGCTCTGTGCCTTTGCTGGCAGCAGGAGCCTCTGCAGCTGCCGGAATGACTTGGTCATGGTAGAAAGGTCATGGTCTCCCATATAGTCCCCCTGCTCCCATGCTGGATGTTACAGGGAGCTGGGACTCTGCGGAGAGGGATATTTTTGCTTTCCCTTCAAAAGGAATGCAGCTGCAGATCCTGATCTGCTGTGCTATGCAGAGAGCTCCAGGCCCCCGTCCAAAGGGTAACGTGGCAGTGACTTTCAGGAAGTACTGAATGTACCAGATGTGCAACTCCCTCCACCCAGATGTGCAGCCCTCCTCCCACTCTGTCCCAGCACCCTTGTCCTGCAAAGAGGAAGAGGACACTCTGGATCGCTCCAAAAGCATCCCAGAGATCAAACACAGCCAAGTTCAAAGCCAGGCTGGCTCTGGATTCCCACACTTGTGTTTAGGCAGTTTAACCGCAGCGATGTCTCTTCCTAGAAATGATGATCAAGTCCATTCTGCACAAGGAGAAGAAAACCAGCCGGGAGATGGGGATGAGGATGGAGCAGTGGGAGGGGGCTTTGGGTGTGAGCCCCATTCTGAACCACAGAACTGTGGCTGATTTAGGACACGTGTTGTTTCCAGAAGGAACTGCTTTGATCCCGAAAGGATAGGCTGGAATGTGCATGAGGACTGGAATATTTGAAGCACACTTGGAGTGCTGTGTCCTGGTTCCCTGCAGGCAGTGTCACTGTTTGTCCCTGGGGAAAGCCTCTGTCTGAGAGAATTTGTGTCTGGATCAATTGGGATGAGTGGTGCTTGTCTCTGGAGCTTCTCTGGGTTTTGTTGTGTCCAATGGGACTGGGTGGCACAGGATGCCCCACGGGAGGGTGGGCACATTGAGGGCATGAGATGCTCTGTGCAAGCATGGGCACAGTGGTGATGGGCCAGCAGCCAGCTGGCAGTGTGGCCAGGCACACGGAACACCGAGGGATGGGGTAGCATTGCTCTGGAACTGAGGAGCACATGCACAACTTGGGATCAAACCACAGCAGATATCCAACAGGATTTCCCAGTGCAAAGAGGAGCAGGCCAT